CACACACACACACACACACACACAAATACACGTACACGTACACACACACACAAACACCTCTACAAACACACACACACACACACACACAAACACACACACATACATATACACACCCCTCCCAAACTACCTCCCCTCCCCACCTCATCCCGTTGCCATCTCAACTTACCTCTTCCCCACCTCACCCTTCTCCAACTTCTATGGGTTCTCTGGCTTGGTGGAGCTTAGCAGACCAGCCTATATATACCCATATACCCCAAGGTAGGTATATATAAGCCAGGCGGCCCCTGGAGGAGCACAGCACCGTAAATCTTTATACACACTGTAGCACAGATAAGACCAAACCTTTAATGAAGCAGCGCTTCTGTCTATCGGTCTATCGGACTCCCGCTTCACCCCACCCAATAATAGGTCTACATGTATAACCTATACCCACCAGCCGCACTTCTTTAAAAAAATTCCATAACATTATATTGACAGATCCTGTACTGGTCTAGGTTTGAAAAGGACCTTTGCGTGTGCAAAGTATCTGTAATGCAGGATGCTTTGACTTAAATTATAAAGAAGTTTACTGCCATTAGGAGAACTGGGCTCTTAAGAAAACTTTTATTTTTAGAATGGGTTCTTAAGCATGCAAAATAAATTATCAATGAACATTAAAATACTGGTATGTGTCTTTCATGCTACTTGTATTCACTTGACATTTAAAAAAAATACCCACACAAATTTCGCATCTTTACACGGGTAAAGAGGCTAACTTTATTAGAACCAATCAAGAAACAGTAGTATCAATGAACCCCTTAAAGCTTTTACATTCATTATAAACATAAAGCCTACAGAGTAAAGTGTGTGAGAATAAGTCATAAAAGTATGGAGATTCCAGCTCACAATAGCAAACAGGAGGGGTTTTAATCATGTGTGAGGCAGTGCAGTCAAATCAGGCTCTCTTCAAAATAGTGATTAAAAAACACCATTTTTCTACAGGTTTGGCAAATAAAAAAAATATATAAATTTTCTTTAAACACTTTTTACACATCAATTTAAAAAACACATTTTTGTGTGGATTTTTACTGAAAACAGTAATTAAAAGTACAAAAAATGTAAATGTTCATTTCCCAAGGACTCTAAAACTATGGAGGTTATCAAACTTTGGTGGCCATTTTCTCGATAATTTTACTTTTGAAAATAGGTGACCCTCACTTTTTTCAATCGGAAATATCTCGACTTCTACTTCTATTTCTATTCAAGGCAAATGGATATTGTTTTTATTGGATGCAAGACAAATGAACAAGTATTAAGATGATTGATACCATTAAGTCCACATGTCTGAAATTTGACGAGCGCCTGATTCCACCAGGTCGTGACACATAAGTAGGCCTATTTGAAATTTTAATTCTATTTCATTTAAATAATTCAGTTCACTACTCAAGTCATGACAATTTCAGAATATTGCTATGATTATGATTGAATCAATTTCTGAGACGGCAAGTCATAGAGGTACGTATAAAACACATCAACTTAATCCTGCAAGACACAAGCATTCATGATCAGTGACGTCTCTGTCACACAACCACCCTGGCAACTCACTTCTTACATCTTGAGAGAAATTATAACAAAGAATCAATTAAGTATCATTCTCATCCTCTTTCATCATTTGTTCAATCAGTCTCTTTCTTTCCTCAGCCTGCCTCATTCTCCTCAACACTAAACTTTCAAAATCTTTGTTCCCACCATCATCATCACCATCTACAGTGAGCTTCTCTTCTGTCAAACTGTCTTGTACCGAGCTTGACGTTGATCGAACCTCAGGTCCACCATTACTGAAGTTAACGGAAGAGTCACAAAAATTGGGAACTTGGAAATGGTCATTGTTTAAACTTTCTGTCCTTGACTCCGCAGGATGACTTGCAGTAGGCTTTCCAGACAACCACAAGATAGAGAAGGGATTATCTTTCAGCCCCGTCTCGTCCAGAATATCAACTGCAACGTCTGGACTGCCAAACTCAACAATAGCACTACCATTTCGCTTAGCAGATACGATAAGCGCACTGACAGTCCCGTAGCAACTCAGAATATCGTTCAGGTTCTGAGAATTGTATCCGCCATTGTTAGGATCTCCCTTTTTGGCTTGCCACTTGAGCTTGATCCGAGGACATTCCCCGGAGCAGTCAGTGTCCACCTCCTGTTGCACTGTGGCTTTCTTCAACTCTTCTTTGAGACGCTCCTGCTCCTGTTCCAGCAGCCTGGGGGAAAAAACCAAAAAACACAGACCAGTTAAAGTCAAAGAACTCAAAAGTAAAGGCCATGCCAGTATTCCCTTTCCTAATTTAGGAAAGATCAAACGTTATTGCAACATGGCATGGTTACATTGACTTACATGGAGCCCAAAGAAAAGGCAAGCTTGATAAAGCTTTAAAAGAAATATAAACATTTTGCAGCATAGGTAAGTAGAAGGTGGCCTATCAATTTCTATAATAGAATTTGAGAGAGTACAAATGCCACAGGAAGTTATGAATGAGTGCACTTCCTACAGAATTACTATTATGAACTCTATAATCACTAGGCTCTACTTACAAAGAGCTCTCATCATTCTCATTCTATTTCCAAGCCTGTGGAACCACACCATGCAATTTCAAATAAAATGACGATAGTTTTTTAAAATATTATGTATATGTATTTGGAAACATAATTCTAATGATTTTTTAACGTTATTTTGACCATTTTCATCATTCACTAATACAATATAATGTAAGTCATTTAAATTAATAAAATTGTAAATTTTTACAATTTCAAGAAAAGCTAGCATTTTTTTCTTAAGATTTGTGTGTTGACTACTGGTTGCATAATGCAATTATTTCAAAGATACTTGTTGATGATAGTCTTGTTTCCCTCAATTTGTCATTTTCATGATTACGTAAAACTGAAAATGATCAACAAAACTGCCTTATATTCTTAAACGAAATACTTTGAGAAAATGAGGAAAAAACACATAAAAATCACAAAGCTGTATATATAATTTAGGTCTCAAGAGCGGAGAAAGAAAGTGACTGCTAGTACAGATGGTTGTTTTGGCAGGTTCGACTGTTGACTGCAGTTGTAAAGTGGAGAGCAGAGAGCTTGCATTACTTCTCCTTGGTTCACCGATTTGCTATCCATAAAAAGCAAGTGTATTTTTGTCACCCATGCATCTCAAGTTATATCTTTTTGGCATCCCCCCCACCCCCCCACGGTTGGGTTGATTTAAATCAGGTCGATTTAAATCAGTGGATTTTTTGGTATTTAAATGAACTTGATTTTTAAAATAAAAATCAGTGATTTAAATCACTTTTTAAAAAATTAATTTTTATTCAGTTTTTAACATATATATTTCAACATTCAGAATTCCTTTCCTTGGTTTTATTAAACAGATATAAGGTTTAGTAGACTAATATAATCATTATCATGCTTAAAAGTCTGCTTTCCCCCGTCACTGTAAAATAATACAGTATTCAATTTACTTTTTTTCTCATAAATTGAAATCATGGTTTGGTTGATTTAAATCAGTTGATTTTTTTTTTTAAATCACCTTGATTTTAAAAATAAAACTCAGTGATTTAAACCACTTTTTAAAAAATGTATTCTGTTTTTACATCTTTTAAAAGCATTCAGAATTCCTTTCCTTGGTTTTATAAAACAGATACAAGGTTTAGTAGACTAATATAATCATGCTTATTAACTCACTGACTACGGATCCCGGTACGGGGCGGACGGTTGGTTCGCAGGTACGGATCCCGTACCCCCGACGGGATGGACTTTGCAGTTTTGTTCCGTATCTTGTGCCCCGTCACATGAACGGGAACGGACTCCAGTGCTAGTTTTGCCACTTGTTTCGTTTCATGCCAAGTTTGGCGGAAGTTTCAAGGTAACTTTTTAAACAATTGAAGGTGAAGGACAGTCACCTCATCTGGGGTTGACCTGACCGGAACTCGCGCTATGTTTTTTCTATACAAATGATAGTAATCCGACAGTCGCGTCGAAGTAACGGTCTCATGAACAAGAATCACATTATAATTTCGCTGTTTACGTACGTTTTGCTAGTTCTAGTGACTCAGGATATGGTGTGTCTGATTGTTATTACCCTGGATATGTACCCGAACACGGCACGAGTCGTAGTTTTAGGGCTAGATCTAGCGCTAGTACTGTTGTTGTTCGCGCGATGAAATCACAACTTCGTTCCCTACATCTGTCTCATGTAATTCAGTGTATGGGTCTGAATAAACGCACAGACCAGCTTTTTTATTTTCACCAAACACTCACACATGGATACAAATCAAAACAGAACACTTTGAACTTTTATTTTTGTTGTTGTTGTGAATTTCATTCTATCTGTCATGTCTCTGGAAATTTTTTGGAAAAATCAAATTCATTCCAATTTTGAAACGATCATATAAGAATTAAAGTATTAGACCTAGAGAACTTAAATTTTTTTGCAATAGATTAAGTTTGAAAGTTACTTTACGGAGTCAAAAAATAATTACAATAGATATATCAGGGTAATTCTGAGAGTTGTGGTGAAGTTTTGAAATACCACCAAAAATGCCAGTACTCAGCGTTAGTGATTTGTGAAAGGGGCCAGTAGTCAAAGAGTTAAAAGTCTGCTTTCCCCCCTGTCACTGTAAAATAATACAGTATTCAATTTACTTTTTTTTCATAATTGAAATTAGCATTTTCTTTTTCTTTTTAGACAAACACAAGCGCGCGCACACACACACACACTGTAATAAAATGCAAGTTTATCTATAATTACCCACCCCCCTTCCTTTTAGACTGACATTTTTTTCATTTTGTGTCTGTAGCCATAATTCACTGATCGATAGCAGATTAACTTTTAAAATTTAAGGCTTTCTTTTGCAGTTGCTTAAATTTTAAAATCATTACTTAAAATAAAGACAATGCATTTTGCACTAATAGAACATACTTTTAGCCTCCAAAAATCCCACACTGTGTCGACTTTTTTCTAAAAAATCACCAACCCTGCCCCCCCCCCCCCTCCCCCACTAGATCTCATCCATTGGTAGTCGTCCGCTGGTAGTTCTTCAACCTGTAGTGCAACTACATTCATGTGACCTTTTTATATATTATGTCTAGTCTAGTCAACCTCCATGAGAATAGGAATAAAATAACAAAGAAAAAGGAAGATCTAACTAGACAAGGCAAGGAGGAAAATAAAAAACATAGATCTAGATCTAGATCTAGATCGGACTCTAATCTAATCGCAAGGGACAAGGGAACGGCTAGCCTCTTCCATTTTTTTCTTCCACAACTATCAGACAAAATGTAAAACTAAAACAAAGCATCTTCACATGACCTAGGTGTCTGTGAACCAAAGAATGTGCAAAATAATGGGGTTTTTTTTTACCTTGATCCTTCTTTTCTGAGACGTTCAATCTCACGCTGAAGCTTCCTTTCAGCTTCCACCTCATCCACTTTTTTTGATTGTTCGAAAGCTGCCTGTTCTCTTGCCTCTAGATCTTCCTTGAACTTTTTACGCTTGCTGTCTAATACTTTATTTCTCTCATCTGCTGCCTTTTTGGCTTTTCTAGACTGATCATACGCAGCCCGGGCTGCAGCGTCGGTCAATATTTCAAGAGCACTGGACAGTTCATGGAACAGTTCTGCTGCCTTCGGGTTGTCCGGGTTCTTATCAGGATGGCATTTCAACGCCTTTTTGCGATATCCTTTCAGAATTTCTTTCTCTGTGGCATCTTCTGTGACATTCAAGATGCCGTATAAATCTTTCTTAAATAGTTCTTTCGACATGGTAATTCGATGTTGGCATCAAGCATCGAAGTAAAACGTCTTTTCATACGTAGGGACTTCGTAAAATTTTAGGATAAATTGACCAGAAACTACCTTCGCTCGTTGAAGAGCAGGGAGTATGTGTTTCCTTCCTCTGTGTTGTGAGATTTACACTGTTCCACAGAATATTACCCTCTTGGGTCAAAGAACTAGGCCCAGCGGCGAGTCGAGGCGGTATGTCAGCCAAGAAATTATAATAATATAATAAAATATAACGGATAGACAATATTACTGTACTCTGAGGTCCTCGAGTCGTAGTGTAAGCCTACAAATTTCAAAATGTCCACATTATGTGCACACATCACCCTGTATCAAGGGCCTAGCGATCTACTGTTCAAACGCCAACAAGTTAGCCAATTTAGCTTTTTTAAAATTAGTTTTAATAAACAAATGTAAAAATCAATCTCCACCCCCTGCTCCTACCCCTACAATCAATTGGCCTACCGCCGACACCCCACCCCTCACAAAAACAACCCACCACCACCATCATCATCATCATCATCATCATCATCAACAACAACAGCAAAAACATTTTAAAAAGAAAACTAAACAATAGCAGCAACAACAGTAGAAACCCGAAATAAACTAGGAAATCAGTGTGTGTGTGTGTGTGTGTGTGTGTG